TAGCGGAGGCGAAGCTGCCCGGCTGCCGCGCCGCGCCCCGCGCTGGACGGCACGGGGGCAGTCGGAGGCCCGCTGGAAGGGGGCGCGGGGGATCTGTTGCTGAGCTGGCAGGTAGCCTGGTCCCGAGAAGTGCTGTAACGGTTCAGCCTCCCGTGGGCCGCCCAAACATGTTAGTGCCGGTGTACCGACTGTAGATTGACCACGGGCTTTAGGTGTTCTGGCGACCGCGTTTTCCACCAGTTCTCATTTATTGGATAGTTTTCAGAGCGTTCATCTAGTTGGAAGGTGCTGTGGCGAAGTCTGACTCTTCCAGAAAGGGCGAAGCAGAACTTTTTTTTTAGAAACAAACGGGAAGGAGTTGGCCACTGCGGCTGTTGAGCGCTGCTGCCCCCTCCCCCCATGACAAGTCCGGGCGTGCTGCTTTTCGCTGGGTCTGCCTTTCTGGGCCTCCGCGTGCCTTCCAGGAAGGCAGGGTTCCACCTAAGCGGTTGCTACTTAGTCTGTCTCTGTCTTCAGCCAAGATATCACTGGCGACATCTATTATTTCAACTTTGCCAACGGCCAGTCGACCTGGGATCATCCATGTGACGAGCGCTACCGCCAACTCGTGATCCAGGAAAGAGAAAAAATTCTGGAACATGGAGGCCTCAAAAAGAAAGAGAAAAAGAAGAAAAGGGGAGAAAAGAAGAAAGACAAGAAAGAAAGAGACTTGTTGAAATATCCTATGGTGAGTACCTGAACAAGCAGAAGGTTTCTGTTGTCAGTATAGGAAAGCAGATAAAACCTTCAGGTCCCGGTTTAACATTTTGTTCTTTGCTCTTCTCTTCATCTCCATCCCTCCGTATATCCGTATATAAAGGTGCCAGGATTTTAATCTTGCATTCAGCTTTAAATACACCTGACTAAACAGTATGTGTTGCTATACAAAGCTTTTTCAGTTTCAGTTTTGTTAACCTTTTCTTGACATGGTTGGGTAAGTTTTGGGGGGGGGTTGAATCTGAGAAATAACTTAGAGATAATGCTGTGTTTTGTACAGCTTTTTCAAATCATTCCAGAAACTTAGAGGCCAATTCTGGCCTTGGAACTTGCTCTTCTTTCACATGTGTTTCTTCCAGTCTCTGGTGCTGGAGGAGAATTGGCAGGGTTTAGATCAAAATTAGCTGCTTTGTATTTTTTTCCCCCATAAAAAGTATTGCAATTGTGTATGTTATTCTAACAGCTGATTAACATATCCAAGCTGATATCAATAGACTGCCTAGCATCATGGTGGGTTCCTCTGGCAAGCAGGAGCAAGAAATGCAGGTCTTTTTTTCCTTGCATGTCTCATATAGAAGAAAGGTTAGCCTGTTTACAAAATCAGTAGATCTTCAGTGACCTGATGATTTTTGCCTACTTAGGAGGTGCACTCGGAGCCAGGGATTCTTCCGTCTACATCCTTTTATCGAGTATCATCTCCTATCCTGTCTTCAGGGCATGCTAGTCCTGACCTAGAGCAACAGGGCAGCCTGGGGACACAGAATGACTCCTTCCTGAAAAACCACAAGGGAAAAGTTTCAGATACAGGTGATCTGTCCAGGCTACTATCAAACCCTGCCCCAGGGAAACTACAGCCTCTTCTGTCAGCAAAGTCAAACCGGACTCACCAGATCCTGGCAGATGTGGAAAAAATTCTTGGAAGAGCTGCATCTTCTAGCAGGTCAGATGTTAATCATCAAACATGCCAAGATGTAACTACAGAAATCAGATGCGCAGCTGCTAGTGGTGTTTTTTCAGACTTGGAAGCTGAGGACTTAGACAGCGTCCACCTCGTAAAGCCTCTTTTCCAAACATTGAAGAAACCATCTCAAACTATAGCAGGTGCAACAATTGTGTTAGACCTGGGGGAAGTCAAGGACAGAAGACTGTTCTTAGAGGGAGAAAAGCAAGGTGAGGACCATGGGGAAGGCCATGCAGAAGGAGATGGACTCCAATCCCTGGTCAGGAAGGAAGACTTCTTGCAAACTGTTGAAAAGGAAATGCAGCTTCTTCCTTCTGCCACTGCTTTCTCATTGATCAGCCAGACGTCCAGGACTTTGGAGGGACAAGGTGACATCCATTATTTTCAGAACGAAGTATTAAGGCCTCTGGAGAGAATAAAGGAGAGCAGAAGAAAGAAAAAGAAGCTTTCAGAGCAATGCCAGGCTACAGAGCCCAGCACATGGCAGATCAAGGCTCCTGTTCCTCATTCTCAGCTGCAGGCTTCTGTTGAGCTTGGAGCAAAGACAGGAACTTGTGGGAGTGATGGGTTTTCATTAGCAGTAGTGTCATCTCCTACACCAGGTCAACTCATAGAGGAAAAAAAGCATGATCCAAGGATAGATTCTGACGGTGGTAATAGCATCAGTGTGGCTAGCAGTCTGTCTGACCACCTTGCTTCTCAGGTCTTAGGTGAAGTGGATAATTTCTCCTGGGACTTGCAGAGCTCTTGTGAATCTGAACATCCCACAAAGCACCTGCCTTCTCCCCAGAGATCTTTTTTGGAAGCTGTAAATACCCAAGCACAAAGCTCTCCAGACAATCAGTCATCTAGTGAGTGCTATTCAGAGGATCAGAAGTTCTATCAACACGTACTCCATATGGTGAAGAAGTCGAGGAGAGCAGGATCAAGTGTACCCGAGCCTCTCAAGGGTCAGAAAGACAACAGCAAAGGGCCTGGTGCTGATCAGACAGTAGATCCTGATGTTGCTGGAGAAGGGACTATAGAAACAACAGCAGCAAGGCTCAAACAAGGAGCAGCGGCTCCTAAAGCAGAGAGATTCAAGCCTAGTGAGGGTCAGACGTGTATCCTTCAAGACAACCAGGCCGGAGAACAGCCAGTGCACAACACAGGCCTGATGGAGGAAGCCTGCAGGCTTGGACTTTCACCAGAAGGAAATGGAGTTAAAGAGGTAGGCAGCTGATATTTATCATCTGTCTTTTCTCTGAGAAGGTGAGTGTGGCACACATTGTTCTTTCCACTATAAGCTATTTTATTATTCCAATACTCTGTGAGGGTTAGGGTTAGGCCAAGAATGAGTAACTAGTCTAAGATCGTTCAGTAAGCCTAGAAACGCCTGGATTTGAACCCCAGGGTCATGCCTTGTGTCTACCTTATTGATTGGCTCCTGACTACTTAAAAGAACAGGGAAGAGAGAATAGGAATACCTCCCATTGGATAGCTCTAAGAAGGCAGATGCTTATATTTTAACTTGTTCAGAAATTATCTGGAGTTAGAAGTGAGCAGTAAAGTGTTTCAATAGCTCCAAAAGAACCTATTTAAACTTGGGGAACATATGTTAAAATGGCAACTATGTTTCTCTGTATGCAAGTACAAAGTGATGCATGTTGGGGGGGGAAATCCTATCGTGAGTGCATGCAAAATAAATAGCAGCCAGAGAAGGGTTCTCAGGATCATGTTGAGTAGCTCAGTGAAAAGACTGATCTATTATGACAGCTGAAAAAATAGATTCCATATAAAGTGATTGAAATAAAACTCTACGTTGTTTTTCCTTTATATTTTTATATTCTTTTATATTGTGTAGTGTGACCATGTGGCATTCTATGTACCAGTCTAACCTCAAAAAAGAATAAAATTGGCAAAGATATAGATTACAATTAAAAGACTGGAGGGATGATCAAGATATTTAAGTTATATGCAATGTGAATAAAGGGGAGAGGAAACTTCTTCCCTCTCTCCTAATGCATAACAATATAATAGTCCTGCTGTATCAGGCCAAAGGCAACGATATTCCCACACTTAGTTTCTCACAGTGCCCAACCAGATGTTCTCTTTCCCCTCCTCGGGTCCAGGCTTTCCAAAGAGTGGTGTCCTTATTATGTGACCCTGTAGATGTCTCAACCAGTGCTCTTCACTGCTCCCTAAGAACAAATGGAGGAAGGAGCTCAGGACTAGGGTACTGTCTTAAACCATTGCAAGGCATGTGGCTGCAAGTTGAGCTGGCTTTGTGGCTCCTTTTCTCATCTTAATGCATTGATGTCTTGATTTTCTTTTGGTAGCCCAGCACCTACAGAAAAAGTCTTTTGAAATCAAAAAATGAGGAGGAAAAAGAAGAGGCTTGTTTGTATCACCTGGCAGCTGGTGCAACAGAGAATAAAGAAGTCAGTGAGGTAGTATTTTTTTCATTAACTGCATCTGATGTGTGTCTGAAGGGGACATATGAACTCAAACATATTCCAGCAGGGTCTTTGAGAGAGACTTTCCCTGCACAGTGAGACTGGGAAATCAATCTTGAGCTCCCAGATGGCAGGTGAGGGATGATGTGTTCCTCTAAAAAAAATGTGGCAAGAGTGTATTTAGTGCTATGGTGGCCAGTCTTTCTAGTCTATCGTCTCTTCTGATCGGTACAGTTGAATGATATATGCTGTATTTTGTGGAGCTTGGCATATCATGTACTGTTTAGATGATTCTGCTGTTATGTTCCTTTAACTTCGTTTTTGGGTGTTTGTGTTGGCTTCTTAATGTACCACTAGCTACCCAGAGTCATGAGAACAAGATGGGCAGCCATATACGTTGTTTAAATACATACATCCGCATAAAACATTGAAAGGAGCAATCAGAGCAGATTGCAGAGAACAGGTGCCATATATCATCCAGTATTTTGCAAAATTCTGCAACAGCTGGGGCTTCCAGCCTCTCATCAAGGGAAACCAATACACTGATGATGGTGCAGGGAGCCTGACACACATTTTGAGATCTGGTGCACCTCATTCGGTTGTAATGCTAATACTTCTTCATTCAGCACGCTCTGACTTGAGCAAGTGAGCCCACTTGTTTGCCAGTTTGGCAGTCCTTTAAGATGAGACAGCTCATGGATAGAAGCCCTAATGTCTGCTCCACAGCCCTTGGACTGATCCCTTTATTATCTTGAGGAGAAGAGAGAGGCTGATCAGAGGCCCACATTGCCTAGTTTGGCTCTGATGCCACGTCATCAAACATGACTTGACTTTGGATGTAAAGCTAAAACATCTTTGGTCTTTTTGTCTGTTAGAGTATGCATGAAAGAGCTGGAGTCCTCCAGAATCCACGTGTGGATATTGGGGTTATCCTTGAACAAAAGGTATGTGTTTACAATTTGGAAAACATAGGCTCATGCTGAGCTGAATTTCCCAAGCAGGGCCAGTCATTAGATCATCTCCAGGAAAGCAGCAACATTTAAGCTGCCTCATATTCAAAGGATGAATGTTTTTGACCTCTTATGGATTTTTTGTAGAAATCTTTATGGGTTTATTTGAAATGATGAATTCTTGTCCAGGGTTGATGTATATGGAATAAGAGGCATGCATGTTTTGGAGAAATTAATTTCTAGCATTAATCTTCAGACAATACCTTGATACTTTGAGCAAGATCATGCAGAATTTTTTACCAAATGTGTTTTATGTGGTTCACCAACTATAGTTATCGTGAAATGCAGCAGTTGCCTTGTTTCATGGTGTGCCCTTTATAGACATGGTAAAAGAATCTGATGTTGATCCTAAAGTCGCTGTGGTGCTTACCAGAAGGCTTCCTGACCCAATTCAAACTGCTGGTCATTATCTTTAAAACCTAAATGGCGCAGCACCAGGAGGCGTCAGGCAGCACCTTACCGGAACTGAATTTGCCCATCTGGGCAGTTCATCAAGAGAGGACTTGTTGAGAGTCCCCTCTGAGAGGTATACAGGCATGGACCAGACCACAGGCAAGTTTGAATCAAGTTAATGAGGGTGATAGACAAAGTTAGAAGGAAACCTAAGCAACTAATCTTTTTGAAAACCCGTCAGTTTTTTAAAATGTTTCATTTAAAACATTTAAACAGTGCTTCCACACCTGTTACCTTGAAATTATTCCTTCGAACTCAGCAGTTCCTTAACAACATATTCAGGGATGCAGTCCTTCTACAAATATCCCAGACCATCTAGTGCCCATGATTTGTTTTCCTTTATGCTTTTCAACAGCCTTGTGTCAATTTTAGGCCATCTGGGAAGACTAAATAGTATCCAGGATAATATTTCTTTTTTATGTGCTTTTTTTTGTTTTTTGTTTTTGTTTGTTTTCTGTGGTCTTTGGTTTTCAGAGTCCTATGCTAGAAAATGTCCTGGACGTAGCTGACCTATCTCCAGTCCTGAATGGTCCAAAATTTGAGCTGAATACAGCTGCCATTGAAAGCACTTGGATAGAGAAAGTAAGTTGTTGTTTTTTTTAACCAATTAGCAGTTCATGAAAAGACAGATTCTCTTATCCATGAGCAGAAGTTTACATAAGAGCCTTTGATAAGAAACTTTGTCCAAGGCTTTTTGGAAGTTTACGTATATGACATCATAGAGCTACTTCTACCCACTTGTTCGTTGACACTCCAGAAACACCAGCTGTTTGTTGAGGCCGCATTTGTAGAGGAGTGTAGAGATAGTCTTAAAGAAGGGATGCAGCAACAATTACAGAAACATCAGCTTGGCCTGGAAAGACAGGAGGGAGTGAGGAAGAAATTCAATACTGCCCTGCCTTGATTCTCTTAGGTATACAAGGGAGGGAAAAAGAAACTTGGTCAGGCTTTCAAATTCTGAAAAGATATATCCTCTAACAATAAAATAGAGTGCCAGGAGCTCCTGTAGTGCGTGTTTTCTGACTTGGCCTACCTTAAAGGGTATTTTTGCTAGGAAGTCAGCAAGTCCACAGCTGAGTTGTTTTAACACCTGTTGCATAGAAGCTATGAGGACCCAATGATTTGTTACTTAGGGTATCTCCAAATAACCTAGAGTATCTTCTCTTGTTACCTCAATTTGCTCAGCAGTTCTGATTCCTTCCCTAAGAAGATCAATCTAAAGCCTATATATTCTATTTCAAAGAGAGATGCAAAAAACCAATTCAGTTTCTTGATAATCTCTATGTTATCCCTGAGCATTCCTTTTGCTCCTTTGTTGTCTGAGGGCCGACCACTTCCTTAGACAGTTGTCTGCTTCAAATATATATGTGTGTGTGTGTGTGTTTGAAAGTTTAATGTTTAATATTTCTTGCTATATACTCCTGAAATTCTTTTTTGCATTCCATATACTTTTTGTGCTCCTTTTTGTTCTTCTCCTTAGGGCAGACATTCTTAAAGGAAGCCTTCTGAAGTTTTACAGCTTCCAGGACATGACTAAAGAGCCATGCTGGCCTCTTGTGGGCTCAGCATTCTTACTGAGACTCAATTATTGTTGTTTTAAATATCCTCTAGATCTTAGAGAGAGATCTGGTCCTCCTGGCTTTTTCTTTCGGTCTTTTACATCAGTTCCCTCATTTTTTGTTTTCTTTTGTAGTAAAAAGTGAAGTATTGGACACTCTTCGCAGTTTCTCACACACGTAACAGCTTTATGGTAACTGTTTCCTATTGGTCCCACAGAGCTTAAAATCTTGCACTACATCATGCTATCACCTAGAATTAAATCTAGAATTATCTGAAGCCAGGAGCTGAGAAGAGTTAGTATGTTGGCGTGAGGTTTCAGCTGGGTTTCAGAGGCCAGGGCTGCAAGTGGCCACAGTGTGGCCCCACTCTCAGAGTGCTGGTGTGCATTCCAAGCAATAAAAGGGGACTTGAACTGGTAGCGAAGGGACCATGCACCCATATATATCCCGTGTGTATTTGCCATGGATCAATTTGGATTGTAGACATTTGTGACCATTGGGATGGAGATAGACTGAAGTAGTAGTGAAGATTCAAAGCCAAAATCCTGTGTTCTTTTTTTTCACCTCTGATGATGAGGCAGGCTGTTAGGAAAACAAACTCTCTGTAACTAGCACTGCCTGAAATGCCAATAATGCATTTGAGATGACTGGCTGGGAAGAAAGTATGCTTGGAATATTAGTTTGTTTTACAGTCTTTGTAACCCTCCTTAATTTGTGGGTTCAAGTGGCATAAAATAAATAAAATAAAAGCAATATCGAATACCCATGGACAACCAAAAATATTCAAGCAGAGATAAAGGCATGGTATAATAGAATCATTTTCACCAATTTATGTCCACCCCTGGAGGGAGTGAAGTTGGGGGCCACAATATTAAAACCTGCTGCCTGATCCCACGCATTACTTCTAGGAGGGAATCTCAGCAGTCTTTCTCAATATGTTCAGACTGCACAGACAGATTCAACTGTTGCAGGGTAGTTCCTAATGTATCCCATTATAGAGGTTGGGGGCTCATGACCAGCACTTTGAATTGGGTTTGGGAGCCTGTTGGTAGTCAGTGCAGTGTTTTCAAAATTGGTGTTTCCCTGCAGTGACAGGGTTGACTTGCCAACAGTCTTGCGTTCCAAATCAACTATAGTTTTGCAGTTGTCTCCAAAGACTGCGCTTCATAGAGTGCATTATAGTAATCCAAATCTATGATGATTAGAGTGCAAGTGACTGTCATCAAAGCATTCTGGGCCAGGTAGTTTTGTCACTACTATACTAGCTAAAGCTGGGCAAGGACCCCCTGGCCATGGCCTTCAACTGCTGTTTAAGCAGGAACTGCAAACCCAAATAACAAGACATCTCCATCTAAAGTAATTCCAGGGTCAATATTACCTGTTGTTTATTGACATACAATGAGAGGATGACCATAGAAACAGAAACTTCCGTGCTGCTTCTTGCTTCCACTCCAATGATGACTTAAGAAGGACCCCACTAAGGAGAAAAGGGAACTATTTCCTTTGAAATTAATGCAGCTTTTTCAGCAGGGCTTGCTTGCTTGTGAGAGCATGGGAGGGGAACTGGCTTTCAGAGTGTCAGAAAAAGAAGCAGCCAAGCCAAAAGATGGAAGGGAGAAGAATGTGTCTCTCGCCCTTTCTTTTTGAAGTGGTGTGACTCTGATTCTGAATTGTGGCTCATGACATGTACGTAGCTAAAGTAGAGGAGACTCAGGAGCAGTCTGGATGGCTAGGCTGATTGTAGTCCAACCACAATCAGCCATCACCAATAGCCAGCTGTACCAGCCGAAATCGGCCACACCACCAACCATAACAGCTAGAGCGAGAGAGGCAGCAGAGCTCCACAGAGCACAGTTGAAAAAGAGAAGTCTGGGAGAAAGAGAAGTATTCAGGCTCTAGAATGAGGGAAGAGGACCAACAGCACCAAGAAGAGATGATGAGAGAAGCTGCTTTTGCAGCAGCAGCAGGCAACTTAAGGGAGCCAGGAAGCATGGTCATAGAAGAAATAGTAGAAACACTGTATATTAGGAAGTGATGGGTAGTCTTTCATGTGCGTGTATGTGGAGGGGGGGTGTATAATTATAAAAAAAAATTCTAACTAGATCTGATGTGTGTGCACCCTGCTTGGTGTCTGTACCATCCCTAAACCCGTGACATAAAGCAACTTGGTTTTGGGGGATTTAGAGGGAACTAAGCTTATTTCACCCATCCAGACATTGACAGGCTCCAGAGACCAATTCAGGCTTTCCATGTCCCCACCTTGGTCTAGGATAACGGTGTACAGCTAAGTATTATTTATATACTGATGACATCTCACCCAAAATTGACAAATGACCTCTCCCAGCAGTTTTATATAGACTTTAAATGGCATAGGGGAAAGCACCAAATCCTGTGGTACCACATATAAGAGCAAGACATGCTCCCCATGACTACCGGCTAGGAACACCCACTCAGATAGGAAGGAGCAGAGCTGCCAAAGCACAATGCCTCCAACTCCCAACCTTTGTAGGGGGTCCAGCACGATACAGTGCCATGGAATGCCAGGCTCCTGATGAGCTTCATCGGTCAGGGCAACCAGTGCTGTTTCCATCCCATGACCAGGCCTGACTGACAGAGATCCAGGTAATTGGTTTCTTCTGTGAGATGCCTCTGTAGAAAGAGAAGGTTGGAGGCTGGGCAGAATTCACCCAAATCAGTCAGATCAAGCGAAGGCTTATTCAAGACAGGACACATAATCAACTCTTTTAATGCAGTTGGCATTACTCCATCCTTCAAAGAAGGGTTGATGGTTTTCCTGATCTAGGCACTCACAATCTGTTAAGCCACCCAAAGAGATCTAATTCACGGCTAGCAGACTAAAAATAAAATGGCTATTTTTTTTTCCCTTTGTGGAAGCGCTTCTGTTCAAAGGAGTGGGATGAACTTTACAGACTTTGGGGATGCAAGAGGTGTGTGTGATATTCAGGAAGTGTCTCAGATGGAACTTTTGTCTCTTTCATCAGAGGCATTATCAAGCTCTTTACAAGACCCTGGATGCCCTGCTATGGCATGTCTGAATTGTTCAGATGTGTTTGAAATGTTGTGGTAGCTTGACCCAATAGAGGAATCCCAACACATGGAAAAGGCTACAAGTTTCAGGCTTCATCCTCTTGTCCAGGTTGGATCTCATCAGCTTTTCGCTGAAATACAGTGCTGTGGCAAAACCTCCACCCTCGCTTTCTCTTGCAGGACAAAAGCTGGATGGTGCAAGAGAAAAATCAGAACAAAGACAGCTTGGAAGAGGAGCAAAATAGAGGCTCTGCTGTGGCAACAGAGAGGTATAGAAGCAAAAATCCTTTGCAGAAAACATGGGTATTACACATCCCTTACCAAAGAACTTACATGCTGACTTTCTGCAGTACTCTCTTCCTTTAATTCCATCCTGTCCCCACTAGTATCCCACCCTCTTTCTGGCAGCACCACCTGCAAGTGCTCATGTGTAATGGAGCTTCACTTGGACACATTTTGGGGAGCCAATTGTTTTGCCTGCTATTGCTGGTTGCCACTTTATCATAGGCTGGCATTGTGGATTTAATGGCCAACAACTTCATACTGGGCTGCTGGAAGCCCAATACTGGCCCTTCCTGAAGATCAACTTGTGACCAGGGGTTAATTGAACAGTCTCTAAGAAAGCAATACCTCTGAAAACAACAGCTTCTGGGCACTGATTTTCAAGATTGCATTTGAGCATAGAACTGAGACTTCAGTGACACTATACATTTTATTTATTTACTTATCCATTTATCATTATACTACTGATGTCTCTTGATAGTTTATAGTGAAAAATAAAAGGTTAAAGCCAAATATTTATAAATAAAATTGAAATAATCAACTATTAAAAGTCTGCTCAAAAACATGCATTTTAAACATTTTTTAAAATGCCAGTAAAGCGGGTCAGTTCCTTCACCTTAGCAGGGACACCATACCAGAAACCAAGAGAAACCGCAGAAAAGGCTTAATTCTCAAGACCCTGCAAGGCAAGCTGTTGAAGCTATAGGCAAACTTTTTCAAATGAGCTTAATGAGTAGGATGAAGTGTGAAATCATATAGAAAAAAGTGGTTTCTCAGGTACCCTGGCTCCAGCTTTTTAGGCCCTTAAGGGTAATAACCAATGCCTTGAATTTCTCCCAGAATGTAATGCTTTTAGTATAAATGAAATACACTTTCTTTTGACTCCTTCCAGAGACCAGTTGGCTGCTGAATTCTGCAGTAATTAAACTTTCTAGACTAGTTGCAAAGGCATTCCCACAAATAACTATTTTGAGGCTTGTAAGGCATGCCTGTAAACTTTAAACAAGCCAGGAAAGTAAAATGAACATATTAACAAAGAGCCTTTTTATACTGTATCACATTAGCACTTTTCCCCCGTAATGTTGGCATCCAGAGTCCAGGTGGTTAGGAAAATTAAAAACTACGCAGGATGCATTGCATTTAAAGAAGTTCAGACCATTCATAGAATGTGCTACTGCTGTGTGATCATGATATTCTGCAGTAAACCTGTTCTTTATTTTGTAAGAAGAGTGTGCCACAGTACTCTTCTTCTGTGAAAGCAGGTACAAAAATGAGCATCTAGGGAAGGAGGTTCTCTTCCCCGTCTCTCTCCTAGGGACTTAGAAAAAAGAGGCATTTTACACTGCTGCTGCCATAATGGGGAAGGGTCCAGCAAGTGTGCAGAGAGAAGCCTCACTGCTGTATTGAGTTGAACAATTGGTGGAAGAGTGCTTTCTGGGTCCTTGCCACGTTTGGATTCTCTGGGTCACCCTCATGTTGGTATTTGAGAAACTCACTGGCTGCAGATGTAAGGAAGTTATATTACTGCAGGAGATAAAAGTAATTCTAAGATTAAAGCGCATCAGACTGAAATGATTATTAATGTTCAGACATTTTGGTGTGAGCTGGAAGCAACCCGATGATATCAGAATTGATTGAATTGGCATTCGCCTTGTTGAATGGCAAAGAATTGTCCTAAGGAGGCTTCAGTTTGCTCATATGTCTGTTTCTGCATCAAGGGTCTTTTTCTTCCTGAATCAAACTAGCAGCAGCTGCTTCTTGGTTTTTTGGAACAGCAAAAAGAGAATTGTAATCAAGTCAAAAATTGCATCCCTCTCAGGTAGCAAAGGGGCATCTTCATTTCCTTCCAGCCTTCTGATGGTTCTGCCTTTTCCTGTTCTTCGTACCTTGTCAAGCCTTGTGCCAGTGCACTTGAACAGGACTTCATTTTGCAGAATAGCTACAACAAGCCTATCATTCAAGCCTTCCTCTCAAGGAATTCCTCAAGAGAAAATACCATTGCCTGTCCATCAATAATAAAGGAATGCTTCATATAGAATGATGGAGAGATCTGAATGTCTCCAAGGCTTCTGTATTCTACCCTGGTCAGTTCATTTCAAGCAGCAATTAGTGTGAACTTGTTTCTCTTAATAGCAGGAAGTTTGAGACTGAAATTAAGCCAATAAAGCCCTGGAAGATCCATACTGGGCGGTCGCTGGAGGAAATAACCAAAGTGGAAGAAGCAAACATGTATTTGCTGCAAGAAAAACAGACACATGTTCAGAATTTGCAGGAAGAACTGCAACAAGAAAAGGAAGAGGAGATCCAGATGTTACCTCCACAGAAAGAGTCTGCCCTTCGGTGAGTTTCTTTCCACCTACACTACAGATACTTGCTTTCCCTCCCCTCCCCTCCCCCCCATGTTGTAAATGCCAGTAGTGGTCATCTTCTGTCATGTAGGTTAAAGGTGCAAGTCCAAAGCCTTGATGTTTTAGGATTCTTTCCTGGAAGGAGGCAAGGAGTATTTGTTGCAACACTGAGTTCCAAAATCCCAACAGAAAACATCAAAGAAACTACTTAATTGGAAAGTTTTTAGGAAAAGGCTCATCCATTAAGAGAATAATTGACTGTCTTGATGTCACTTTGTGTGTTCAGTACAGGCTACAGCTATGTGACACATCCCCTGGGCTTCTGGTATTTTGGGGGGTTGGATCTGTACTGATTTATGTTCTGAGTAGGACTCTGGAGTACATTGGCATCCAACTCTTGCATTCCTTGGTATTTTGGTTGTTCTCATCCTTCTACTTTTTTTCCTGTTCCTGCACTGAGGTTGTATGCATTTTTTTGACCAGAATAACTTACAAAGTAGTAAGTTTTGAACATGACACTTCTATTTGTGTTGATCATGGCAGTTGTTTTTATTATTACATTATATCCTGCTTTTCTTCTGGGAGCTGAAGGTGGCACATCTTCCTTTATCCCCACAAAAGCAGCCATGTGAGATACAGTAGACTGAGAAATAGCAACTATAAGGAAGTCACTAAGTGATCTCTGTGGCCATGTGAAGACTTGAACCTCCTTCTACTAGGTTTCATTCTATAACTTTCAGCACTATACGACATTGGCTCTCAATTACCAGTGCTTAAAATCATAGAGTGCAAGGACTAGAAAGGACGTGGTAGAACATCTGATCCAAGCTTCTGCATAGTTCAGGAATTCACTATTTCAGCATCCATGGGAAGTAGCATGCAGCCTGTGTTTAAAGACTTCCAGTGAAGAAGAGTCCACCTCCTCCCAAGGTAGGCTGTTCCATTGTCCAACCAAGCTTTATTCCCATTGTTTTTTGTCTCATCTTCTGGAACAACTTTGAACAATTCTGCCTTGTCTTCTACATCAGCTATCATGTCTCCTCAGAGTTTTCTCTTCTCCGGGCTAAACGTCCAGCGCCTCTGTTCCTCAAAAGTTTTTCCTTCCAGGTTCTTTATCACTTTGGTTACTTACCTCTGGATTCACTCCAGTAGGTCAATATCCCAGAGTCCTTCCTAAAAAGTGCCAGCCAAAACTGGACTCAGTTTTCTAGTCTGATCAATGTACAAGGAAGAACAATGACTTATCTTGATTTTGCCCTGTACTTGTGATCCATACAGATGTTTTTTAATAATCTGCTGCCCAGTATGTTCACCCCATCCTATATTCATGCCTTTGATACTTCCTATCTTTTCCATTAGTCCCTGTTGAAAAAACTCACTGATTTCTGTCCATAGTTGCAGCATGTCAGGATCCTTCTTAATCTTGAGCCTATCCTCCAGGAGGTTTGTTTTTGTCCCATCTTTGTTTTTGTGCAAATGTTATAATCATTCTTTCTGACCCATTTTCCAAGTCATATATAAATGTGTTGAACAGAGCTAAGTGGATACATCATTCCATTGAGTACAATTACTCAACCATCTCTGTATCCATTTAATTGGTAGTGTAGGCCAGGCCAGCCCACATTTTCTGTACTGGATTCTCATGGGAGACTCTGTCCGATGGTTTGCCAAAGACATGGTGTGTTCCCATGGTCAACTAGATTTGTCATCCTCTCAAAAAAAGGAGATCAGTTTGGTTTGACATGATTTCTTCTTGATAAACTCATGCTGGTACCTGCCAAGCAATGCATTCTTTTCTAAGTGCTCACACACCAACTACTCAATAATCTAATCTAGAGTTAAGCTTATCAGTCTGTGTTTACTTGGGTCTTCTTTTTTATCTTTTTTAAAGAAAGGAACAATATTTGCTGTTCTCCAGTCTTCTGATACTACATCTGTCCTCCATGATTTCTCAAAGATCACAGAAGGGGACTTGAGACTCTCAGTTTTAGTTTGTCCTGGAGATTTGTTCATGATAGCCAGATGCCTCCTAACTATCTCTTTACTTATCTTAAGTTGCCATTTATTCCTTTTATGCATTGCTCTGCTTAGATCCATTTGAGCACAATTCTCTTTGAGACTGAAGCAAAATAGTGGTTGGAGCTCTGTCTTACCACCTTCTACCAATAGGCCCATTTCTTCCTTTTTCTTTCTTTTACTACTGAAATAGAAAAAGTAGTCACCTGCAAGCCTAAGTTTCTCTTGTGCTTTAGCCTTTGTAACTCACTTTCTGCAGTTATTAACCCCTTGCTAGTACACCTCTAATATTTATACACATATCCCATTCCATGTCCCTTTTAGCTCAGCTCAATCAAAAGCTCCTCTTTGCATCTGGAATGCTTTCCTAGCTGTCCCCCATTGTTTTCTTACCAGAATGGTCTGTAATTATACTTCCAATATCTTATTTCTGTGATGTTCCCAAACATCCTGCAGTCCTTTTGACCCAAGAATTTCTATCCATGGGGTCCTGCCTAGTACTTTTTTAAGCTTGTTGAAATTAGCTCTCCTGAAATCTAGTGTGCACATAGAACTGTGAGCCAGTTTCTCTTGCTATAGTATCTTGAACCCCAAGATGATGTGGTCACTTCCTCCTAAAGTTCCCACTGCTTTTACTTCCTCAACCAATTCTTGCCTACTGGTTTGGATTAAATCTAGGAAAGCTGATCTTCTTGTCTTTTCTTCAGTCTTCTGGGAAATGAAACAGCAAGACCACTGAGGGATTTTTGGCACCTTGCAGTCTTGGTTTTTTAACAAACATTCAGGTGGTTGGAGTCTTCCATTATTACTGCGTCTCTCCCTGAAAGTTCTGCAATATGATCCAGGAACTAGTCAAAAGCCTTGGATACTTTTGTTGTTTCTTTTTCCTTCTATTTTTACCCAGAGTCTCCAAACCTAATAACTTCTTTAAAAATTGTGGTCTCTGGAACAATGGCAACCAATCCCATTTAGCTCTATCCTGTCAGGGAAAAAAACTCATTAAACACGGGAGACAGACACACCATAAAACAAGTCACCTC